TGAAAAGAAAAACAAAATACGTAAACGAAAAATATTACAAGTAAACTTACTGATCTAAATAAAGTTCACTGTTACTAATGGGTAAACATGACCCGTGTTTGTATTCTTAATTTGTGTCGTTATTTGTGTTCGATGCCCTGTCCACCCCCATCCCCATAGTTTCAAGTCCGAGAGTTTGAGCCGGAAAGGCCGGGTAATTGAAAAAAATGCGCTGGCAAATTGGCTTTTCAAAAAAAGCGACATCTACTGTATAGTGTGGATACGTAAGATAAACATCATACAAAATTAACGATACATGTATCAGGATAAACAAAATCAAAGGCACCAGAACACGTACGAATACGCCAGACAATTCCTGCGCGCAACGCCGATCGTAAATGGCAGAAATTGCGCACGCACAACCAAGACCTGGTTTGGCTCTACGCGCGCGCCAACACATTCCCCAGGCTTACCAGGCAAAGTGCGCGCACCGCCGCTAATGCGTGGCGCTATGTGCGCGCGCGCAGACAAGGGCCGATCTGGCAGGTTTCGCGTACCAACAAAATCCATAGTCGTACCAACAAACTGCGCGCAGCGCCGCTAGTGGGGGGCGTTATGCGCGCCCGCGCGCAGCGCCGCTACGGCGTGGCCACTTGCGCGCGCGCGCATCAGCGCGCGAAATCGACCAATATCGGGACCCAATTCTTAGCTCAAAAAATGTAGGGTGAGAATGTAGGGTGGGAATGTAGGGTGAGAATGTATGGTGGGAATGTATGGTGGGAATGTAGGGTGGGAATGTATGGTGGGAATGTAGAGTGGGAATGTGAGTGGGAATGTAGGGTGAGAATGTAGGGTGGGAATGTAGGGTGAGAATGTAGGGTGGGAATGTAGGGTGAGAATGTAGGGTGGGAATGTAGGGTGGGAATGTAGGGTGGGAATGTAGAGTGGGAATCCCCTCTAGAAGATATATTAATCTAACATAATTTGAAGGGATATTCTATGCACATTTTAGCCTAAGACAATGCAGCTT